TATTTTTTCTATTTTCTATGCCAAATAGAAATTTCATGATGTTAACACCAGCCATAAGGTGGCTTATATATATCCATCTTGAAACAATTTTATCAAAGCTGAAGGTCCAGAAAAGAGTTCGAAAAAAGACTGAATTTTTAACAAGATTTCAGAACTTCTAAAATTAAAAAAGATAATTCTACATAATTTTTCATTATAATAAAAGATTTATACTTATATAAAAGCTTCACTAACTGCACAAACAGGCTAAGTTTAAGCATTTTCTCTAAACTATTAGACACACTCATGAATAGATGTGTTGTATAATTCAAAATAATAATAATAATAATAATAATGTTATTCTCATCTATTTCTGGTCAAATTAAGCACAGTATAAAGGCCATTACAGCTAACAAATCACATACAATGAAAATGAAAAAAGAGGACAAAAACACAACTACTATTTGACTGCAGATTAGGAATATATCAGTAAACAAGAATGGTAAATAGCAATTTTCATTATCACCAAAAAAAGAGTGAATCTCATGGTTCCATAGAAGTAAAACAATATCTAGCGTTTCTGTATTATTTTTGCCAAAAGACCACCATGCCATTATAATTTTTTATACAGTCTAAAATAATCATACAAATAACGATTGCCTTATTCCTTCTCAATCATACACATAGATACACTTACTGATATTGTTCATAGATAAGTTTCACTATTATTAATTGTTCTTCTGTTCTAGGCAAAAGATATTATAGCTTTCCATATTCTAACTTTTCTTTTCCGTCTTCTCAGAACTGCTGAGGTGCAGCCCTTGGAGACCAGCCAAATGAAGGTTCCATATTTCTACATAATAAATGACGGTATGGAAATATAATGTTGGACTTGCATGGCTCTTACCAGTGAAGAAATGCAGGTCCTAAACATGGAGTACTCTACCATGTAAAACTGTTTGAGTGTACTACTAAAATAAATAAAACACTATTGTTGTTGATAAGGACATGTGCAAAGATGCAAATCCTTTTCTATTTTTCTCCCCTATAATTCTCTATTTTCCAATGAAATTTAGATTTCATAACATTAACACCAGCCATAAGGCAACTAGAAGCATTAAAAAACAGCCTATGTACACAAGTAAGGCTTACACCCACCCAAATATTAAAGAGCTTCTGACTTTTGTAGGAAAAAAAAAAATTCTAGAGCGTTAGAAACTAAAGTTCAAAGATTTGAAACTTACAGAAAGAAGAATTTATGCAATATGCTTTTGGATTTTTAATAAAATTGAACCAACTTCTACAATTTACTAATGATAACTTTGCTTCTACATAACTTTACATTACAACACATCTTGAAAAGATCTAATCAAACGACACTTTTTTCAAGAGTTTCGACAATCAAATGAAAAGGGCTTTACCTTTCAAGTATTTTATTATGTTTAGTCGGACCACTGGTTTTTCTAATTTATAATCTAGGTCTCACCACTGTTGAATACTAAGTAGAAAACATTTATCCATCATTTCTGTATCTCTCGCAAGAGACCATTTTATCCACTACCGTATTCTTTCAATACTAACTCCAAAACCATCACAAAATTCATTATTACATTTTCTAATAATGTAACCAACACTACACAGATATAAACATTTATTTATGTTGCTCACAAAAATTAATGTTGCCTGAGAAATCTCAATTTCGTCAACGGATATCTCAAAGCTGCTATAAAGAAAATTAAAAATTAAAAAGGAATATGGCATTTATTCTATGAACTGATCGCCATAGAAAGAGGATTCCTCATCTGAGTCATCTCTTATCTATCTGCAGAGAAAGCTGAGAGGATTCCTTCCCACTCCACATGCATTACATTTACGTGTGTGCTTCCAACTCCAAGAACGCTAAAATCATCAAACAGACCGCAGAAGATACGTCGACGTAACGTAACAGCGTAAGTACCTTGCTTCTGCTCCCGTGGTGTCGCAGCAGTGCTACAAAGTACAAATCCACCGGCAGGTGAGTCGACGAAGGCTACAACCGGAGCTCAACTGGCTTGGCACAGAAAGCGTCCGGTATGCTTAAGTGGGCCTTTCAGAGCAAACAACCACAAAACAAGCCCAACTGTGCTCGTAATATGGACTGACGACCCATAAAAAAAAAAGAAAAAAAAGAAAACCACTTGAGTAAGCGCACGGCCCAAGCCCTGAAGGATGCGGATGTGGATGTTAATGTCCCATAATAGCGCAGAATCTTTAATAAAAACTATAAAATCACACGAGTCTTCACTCTTGATCCATGAGACATTCGATGTCCGGGATTATGATTATGGGCCTATACATGGCTTGACCCAAACCAAACGCAGGCATGGAGACTGAGAAAGGCCCAATTCCTTATTCTCAAGGACGCGGCAACCAAGCGGATAACCGATCGCAGACTTTGCTGGGCCCAGACATATGGCCCCGTCGAAACCATGAGCCATGAAGCATAACTAAAACAAAGGGTAACATTGGGTATAAGTATACCCGTTTATTTATAAGTATTTTATTTGTTTAAATAAGCATTATATCAAATTGTTGAAAAAATAGATAAGTAATGAATATAAAAATAACAGATTCGTAGGTATAAATTCAAGTAATAAATATAGAGATTTAAAATTATTTATCTGACATATTTAACTTGATCAACTAACATGTCTCCTATACTTGTATAATTAAAATTTTACATATATTTATTATATTTAATATTTATATAATAACAATAATTTTTAAAAATAAAAATATTAAAATAAAAAAATAAGACCTATAAACCAAACAAATAACACACATAATAATAACTCATATAAATAATAAACCTTAAGTTAAATACATAACACACAACACACACTTAACGAAAACATCTACTGGTCCTTTTCTTTTCCTAAACTAAATACATAAATATACATTTACAAATTATCTAATATCTGTTAAATTAAATACCATGTACACGTTTTCAAGTATTTGGATAGATATTAAGTCTAAAAAACCATACCCAAAAGTTTTTGAGTCAGATACTAAACAAAACTCATATCCAACCTCTGTACTAAAAAATGCTTAGGCCTAACTGGAACCGAGAATTGGGCGTTTACCCATATCGAAACCCATTACTGAAACCAGGCTCATTAATCAATCAGGGCACCATGGCGGAACGCCGGAAGCCATGGCTGAAGCCTGTAGTTTAGTGTAGTTTTATTATGGGATGCATGAATTCTACTCTGGTTTAGTTTTGATTCACATTAAGATAAATGGAAATCACCTAGAAGCCCATTACTGACATTTTCTAATACAGATTTTTTTTTTTTTAACCCGACTTTCTAATACAGCTTGACTACCAACTTTTCAGAAGACTTGGATTGTCATCTTCACATAAGAAAGGAATTATAATTAGTCAAGAAGAAGAGCAGCCGCTACACGAGCATTTAGACACACATGATAGAGGCCTTTACATAAACCCAAAAGCTCTTCTTCAAAATTAGAATTCATGGAGGGAATCAGCTTTCTTTAAGAGACCTGAAAACAAATGATGCAATGGCCTGAACAGCCAGGTCTTCAGCTTCATCTTGTGTAGATCCCTTTGTCTGTAGGTGCTTCTTTGAAACCTTGAACGAATGGTCACCACCATCTACCACATGTAACTCACTTGTTGCTGTCATCTTCCTGCGAACAACTTCCAGCTTTTCCAAGGGACATAGCCCATCTTTGTTACCCTTTGTCCAAGTTAGAAACAAGAATTAACTCAATGCAATACAATTAACACAAGCAACATAAAAGATAGCTTTGAATCATTTCAGTTGTGTATAAAATTGTCTAAAACCTCGTAAGACTGATAAGACAATATTATGCAAGTAGAACTTTAGTCTTAAATATAACATCCAGTATTCTGACTACCATCTGATGTAGTGCAACAGCTTTCTGTTGGCTGCTTGCAAAGTCCTTGAACTTACTCCTTGCCATTAGATCAACAAACAACTTATGCATCCAAAAAGAGAATATATGAAGAAATGCACTTGATTTTGTACGAAAGTGTTATATGAAAATGGCAGGGTACCTGCACAAACATTACAGGA